ACCATGGGAGGGACTCTGGTCTCTGCAGCAGCTGCCCGGGCTTCCAGGGTCTGTTGAACCTATTGGAGAGAAGGAGGCCTGGCTCAGAGCTGCTAATCAGCTCCAGCTGGCTCACCCTGGCAGGTGGAGACTTTGACCCTGTGCTTTGTGGGGTTGGGGACCAGTCAGGCTCTGCTACATACAAGGTCTCTTCACTGGGACTTCTGGAGCCATACTAAGTAACAGTATTATTATTAATATCTCCCAGGATCAATTTCTCCGACTCAGCTTCCCTACGGTAATATCTCTCATGCAAGGAATAACCAAGTCCCTGACTCGTTTCTGAAATTAGGCATGTTCAGGGCAAGGCTGCAGACCTCATGGCACCATCTCCAATAACATTCAACTTGGTTCTTCCTGTTTCCCACATCCATCCGAGCTCCTAGAATTTACCCGTAACCTCTCCAGTCTACTATCCGGATAGCCAAAGCCACCTGCTTAACCTGTAAATTGGACCATTATCACCCTCCTGCTTAGAATTCTCTAGTAGTTCCTCATTTCAAAAGTCAAAGCCAGCCGGGTGTTGGTGGCCCCTGCCTTTAATCCTGGCACTCTGGAGGCAGAGGCAGATGGATCTCTGAGAGCCCAAGGCCAGCCTGGTCCATAAATCAAGTTTCAGGGCAGCCAGAGGTGTTATACAGAGAAACCCTGTCTTGAACCCTCCTCCCCACGCAAAAAAGTCAGCCAAGATTTTTTAAAGAAGCCCACAAGATCTTCCAAGATCTAGCTTCCATCACTGTCTTTTTTTTTTTTTTTTTTTTTTTTTTTTTCTTCAGGACAAGGTCTCTGTGGCTTGGGAGGCTGTCCTGGAACTAGCTCTTGTTGACCAGGCTGGCCTTGAACTCACAGAGATCCATCTGCCTCTGCCTCCCGAGTGCTGGGATTAAAGGTGTGCACCACCACTGCCCGGCTTTCATCACTGTCTTTAATCTTCTCTACTTTCCTTTTTGCTCACTCTTCTCTAGTCATTAACCTCTTTGTGGTTGCTTGAACACTATGACAATGACAAACTTTGTCTCAGGGACTTTGCATGGACTGCTCTCTGCTGGGGATATCACTACTCCAGATATCTGCATGGCTCCATCACCTGATTTCCACCTTTGCTTTACTATCACCAAAGCAAAAAGGTTTTCCCTGACTGCTAATAACACTTCCTCCCCACTAAAATGTAAACGCCAAAGCAGCTTTCCTGTTTTGTCTTCTCCTCCATGCTCACTGCTTAGAACAGCCCCTGGTGCAGAGAAAGCACTCAAGAGCTGCTTTTGATTATTATTTTTTTTTTTCCTCAATGAAAGGGACTGGACCTATAGCTTTGGCTTGCTAGGCAAGAGATCCATCACTGTGCTGCATTCCAGCCCACCAAATAACTTCAAAGAGAAAAGAATTAACAAGTTTCTTTTGTGGCTCCGAGTTGGTGGAGCACGCCTTTAATCCCACCACTCGGGAGGCAGAGTATAATGCAAATGTACATTACATTATACATTTGTATAACGTAAATATGTATATTTGTATAACGTAAAGTAATGTAAATGTGAATTTGTATAATGTATAATGTAAATATACATTCATTTACATACGGTGGGTGGGGGGATGGTGGGCTTAGAAACTAGAGCTGTGCACAGGCTTCGTAAGTGCTCTACCTCTGAACTGCGTCTCAAAGGGGAGAGTTAGAAAGCTTAAATAGTAGCCGCGTGTTGATGGTGCACGCACGCCTTTAATCCCAGCACTCGGGAGGCAGAGGCAGGCGGATCTCTGTGAGTTCGAGACCAACCTGGTGTACAAGAGCGAGTGCCAGGGCAGGCTCCAAAGCTACACAGAGAAACCCTGTCTCTAAAAACCACAAAAGAGAAAGATAGTTCATGTAGTTCCCGCCACCGCAGCAAGTTCTACCGGAGAGGATGCAGTCGAAGGGAC